ACCACAACTGGAGAAAGAAGACCCAATGCAGCCAAAAATTAATTAATTAAATTTAAAAAGAAAAAAAAAAAGTCCCGTGCCTCCAGCCACACTCTGCCCACCAAAGTGAAGACCCTGGGAAGACTTGTAAGTCAGCCCAGTGCCCATGGGGGGAATGGGGGGAGGACCGTGGGACTAGAGTAAGGTGTGGTTTCCTTTATATGAAAAAAAAATTCATTGAGGGTGAAATTGGGTATAAATATTCTAAATGTCACATAAAATGTACAATTAGAAAAGTTGGGGGAATTCCCTTGTTCACTGGTTAGGACTCGGTGCTTTCACTGCCAGGTCCCGGGTTCAGTCCCTGGTCGGGGAACTAAGATCCCACAAGGCACGCAGTGCGGCCAAAAAAAAAAGTCGGTCCATCGAGGGATGGCAGTGCAGTAGGCTGGGTAATCAGTTGAATGAATATGGCCTGAGAGTGTCCTCGGACCACAGGGAAAGGGGAGACGAAGGTTCCCCGTGCTGACACAGCAGCATCAGCTCACAGCCTCACCCCAGCAGCCCTGGCTTCTTAGCATCTAAGGATAGAGCAAATTTGACAATTTACCATAAAAAGAGTATGATTAGCCACCCTTTCTTGATCACTTACTGCATCCCAGGTGCTAGACAGTCTCATCACATGCATCTTCTCACTGTATCTCAACAAACGCCAGATTAAAAGGGTATTCTTGCCCCCATTGTACAGATAAGGAAACTGAGGCTCAGAGAGGTCAAGAAAGTTGCCTGAAGCCATTCAGCTAGTAGGTAGTCAGATGAAAATTCAAACCCCAGTCTGTGTCGCAACAAAGGCTGAAGTTTCTGCCTCTGAATTCCTTTCCTTTGGTCTGGAGGGCAGTCCCCAAAGGGAAGGGATTGGCCATGATCTCTTCCCAAAGGTCTGGGATTCTGCTGCTCTCCGAGGAGAGGCAAGCTCAACCCCAGGCAGGTCATTCTGGCTCCCGAACTCAGATCCATAGTGAGAACAGAGGCTGGTTCAGTGCCTGCCAATGGAGGTTGTACTGCTCCCTGAGGAGGTGCATTTGGAAATGTAGGGCAGGTGGTGGTTGTTATCACAGCACCTGGGGTGCACCTGGCGTTTAGTGTCAAGCTCTAAGGGTGCTGTTCATCCTTTAATGCACAGCACAGTGTTGGATGGTGAAGTGCAAAGTGCATCAACTTCTCTATTGAGTTGCTGGTGAGGAAAGGAGCCCAGAAGTGTTTGTTCTGCCCCCGGGTCTGTCCAAACACACTGGTTGACTTTGGACATGTCCCTAGCTCTTCCTAGGCCAGAAGGACCAGTTGGGCTCCAAGGGTGGAGTCTGGGTGGGTGCTGGGGCTGCCCAGCAGTTGGAGGCTGGCATACTCCTGCCCCCTGGGGGCAGAGCCAAGATCCCTGAGCCCGCCCCCCACCAAGATTTTCCAAAGAACGGGCTGCTGGGTGATGGGTCCTGTGTGTGTACCTTTGGCCCATGGCCTAGGGCTATGCCTGGGATTGTGGGTGCACCCCACATATCCCATGCACCCAGAAGGTAGGATTCACAGCTGACCACATGGGATTGACCTGGAATCCCAAAACTTCACTCGAGTAGATTTGCCTTATTCTATTTTTTTTTTTTTTTTTTTTTTTTTTTTTAACCAGCTGTCTTTTTCTTCTCTAGCTAGGAGTTCCCTTTATTACCCTTGCTAAGATAGATACTTTTCTAAAATCTGAGGTTCTTTGTTGTCAGTCTGGGGAAGTTCTTAACCACTGTTTATTTGAATATTGCTTCTCATATTATCTTTACTTCCAACTTTAGAACTTGGAATAGGCATTTATGTTAGAACTTCTCAGTCTGTCTTACCTGTCTCAGATTTTCTTTCACATGTCTCTGTTTGTCTCTCTGTGTTTTATTCTGGATATTTTCCATAATTCTGTCTTTCAGTTAATAGATTTTCCATATGTGTCTTTTATGCCATTTAGAATTTCTGTTCTAAATCTGTGTGTGTGTGTGTATCATATATAATCTTTTTATTTTTATTTCTTTTTTTTTTAACATCTTTATTGGGGTATAATTGCTTTACAATGGTGTGTTAGTTTCTGCTTTATAACAGAGTGAATCAGTTATACATATACATATGTTCCCATATCTCTTCGTTCCCCGACCAGTGATCGAACCTGGACCCTCCACAATGAGAGCTCGGAGTCCTAACCACTGGACCTCCAGGGAATTCCCTCAAGTAGATTTGCCTTTAAAAGGCAGCCACAGTGAAATGAACAGAAACTTTGGCATCCTGAGTTTTAAGCCAAATTCCACGGCTCTCTCAGCTGTGTGATTTAGAACAGCGGTCCCCAACCTTTTTGACACCAGGGACCAGTTTCGTGGAAGACAGTTTTTCCACGAACTCGGGTGGGGGAGATGGTTCAGGCGGTGATGCTAACGACGGGGAGCGACGGGAGCGGCCGATGAAGCTTCGCCCCTGGCCCACTGCTCACCTCCTGCTGTGTGGCCCGGTTCCTAACAGGCCACGAACCGGTACCGGTCTGGGGGCTGGGGACCCCTGATTTAGGAAGTTTCTTAGCCTGTCTGCACCCGTTCTTCCCTCTTGTGCAAAATGAGGCATCATAATACCAGCTTCCCAGGACCACTGGGAAGATTAGCAATCAGGAATGCAAGCTTCTTGAGTGGTGCCCAGCATTCGTCAGGAGCACCGTGGATGCTGGTTTCCTTCCCTGCAGAGGTAGCAGGAGGAGGAGTCCTCTTGATTACACCACTTCCTCCGGGCATGAATGCACCCAGACCTTCTCAGATCAGGAGCTTGCTAGTTAGAACAAGTGCAAAGGCCTTGGGGCAGGAATGAGCTTGGCTTCTTGGTGGGACAAATACTGGTGGAAACAGGGACCAGTAGAAAGTGAGGCGGTAGAGAGTGGCAGGAAGGGGTTAGAAAATGTACAGTCTTGCAGACCATGGGAAGAAATGTGGATTTTATTCTAAGTGCATTGGGGAGTTTTAAGTTGGGGAAGAGAACCCCAATCAGATTTATGACTTCAGCCTTCAAGCTGCTGTGTGGCAAATAGAGTGTGGGGCAGGAGGAACCAGGGCAATGGCTGGTCCTTGAAGAGCAGTGGCAGTCACAGTGGCCGCGCAGCAGAGATGGGGAGCCGTGGTCAGACTCAAGATACATTTTGGAGGTGCAGCTGTCACCATTAGCTGGTAGCTTGGATGTCTGAGGAGGGGCAACGAGAAAAATCAAGAATGATGCCCAGGCTTTTGGCCTGAATCGCAAGTTGGGCTTTTTATTGAGACAGGATGGATTGGCCCTTGAGGAGTGAGTTGGCTACCTGGCAAGTTGTCCTGGGTAGCCCAGGACTCCTGCCCCTCTTCCAACACTCACCACCTGCCTTAAATAGAACCTCAGCTCCAAGTCCAGCAGCCTGGCTGTCAAGGTCCTTGAAATGACCCTTACACGAGGCTGGCATTCCAGAGTCCCGCGCCCGAGAATACCTTGGGAGGTTTTAATCACCTGTGCACCTGGCAGTCTATATTCCAGAAACTGAATCACGGCAGCCTTGACCAATGGAGTATGAATTAGTGGCTGATAATAACTGCCATCAGTTAATCACCATGGCCAAGGCTTATTAATTGCCACAGGTCGATTACGGCCTACATTCAATAGTCTGTGATCCTAGGAGGGAGCTCCTTTATTTGTGGAACATTAGCTGATCAATAATCCCAAGACATGGCCTGTGGTGTCCATTTCCCGACACACAGGTCCTCATCCAGGGAGGCGGCCGAGGGCAGCTGGGCAAGTGCTGCCAGACCACAGCTCGCTCTAAGGACCCTAGTTAGAGGAAGGAACTGGTTTATTTTGCAGAAGCTGAGGTTATCGTAGCTACTACGACCTTAGTATAAAATTACCATGCAGCATTGCAGACACCCAGCAGAGGAGGCCAGTTCTGCATCATTCATTAAGCACCCGTCATGGACCCAGAGTCCTCTCCTCAAAACTTTGTGAGGGCTTCCCTGGTGGCGCAGTGGTTGAGAGTCCGCCTGCCGATGCAGGGGATGCGGGTCCATGCCCTGGTCCGGGAAGATCCCACATGCCGTGGAGCAGCTGGGCCTGTGAGCCATGGCCACTGAGCCTGCGCATCCGGAGCCTGTGCTCCGCAACAGGAGAGGCCACAGCAGTGAGAGGCCCGCGTACTGCAAAAACAAACAAACAAACAAACAAAAAAACTTTGTGAGATGACTGTTACTATTTCCACTTCCACCTGAGTGAGGATGAGCTTTGCCCAAGGTTAGACACACAAATAGTATCCGTACCCAGGTCTGTCAGGCCATTAATTGAACATTTATTCTTTGTGCCGAGCACTCTCCTAAGGCCCGGAGATAAAGCAGTGTAGAGTTTATACTTATAAAGTTTACACTTCACGGGGAGAGACAAACGAAAGTAAGTGGATATGATGTCAGAGCAGGGCAAGCTCTGTGTGGAACAAAATGCAGGGTAAAGGGGTAGAGTAATGGGGGCTGGGGGTCAGGAAGGCCTCTGTGAGCGGGAGGCGTCTGAACAGAGACTTGAATGAGGGGGAGGAGCCTCCCAAGAAGATCTGGGGAATGAGCCTTCCCGGTGGTGGAAACAAAACAAGTGCAAAGGCTCCGCAGCAGGAACATTCCAGAAGGTGAGGTCGTGGAGTTGGCCAGGGGCCTTGTATGTCAAGATGGAGTTGGATTTGCTTCTGATCATGATATCACGTCCTTAACAGCTTTGGGATGTGAAAATTTGATCTTTGCTCATTTGGTGAAAAACGCCACCTTTCTTCTGATCCATATGGGTAATAGTTGCACACTGTTCTGCCCCAGAAGCTGTTTTCTTGTTCAGCTGACTGGTTCTCGGGGCTGTGCACTTCGGATGTATCTGGGGTTTGGGTTTCATCCGTTGTGCTGCTGTTAACATCTCTGTGCTTGGAGGCTGAACTGACCCCGTGCTTTCTCTCTTTCCAGGGCGCTATGATGCTCGGGCCCGAGTCCTCATTTGCCACATGACCTCCCTCCTCCAAGTGCCCTTGGAGGAGCTGGACCTCCTCGAAGAGACGTTCCTCGAGAGCCTGAAGGAAACCAAAGAGGAGGAATCTGAGTAAGTGTGCCCTGCGACCCTGGCCACCCTGTCAGGAATCAAGGACTTCCACTCTTCAGATAACAGCATCCTGTGTGTCCCCTCCCCCCATTAAGAGATGGTGCACTGAGGTGGGAAGAGCACTGGACAGAGAGTCCCAGTGCAGCCCTGACTCGCTGTGTGGCCTTATCAAGTCACTTCCCCTCTCTGGGCCTCCATCCTCATTTGTAGGAAGGGGGTATTGAATGGATGAATGCTAAGGGCCATGAGTTTGTGACTTTAACATTCTGTGGTCCCAACACCCCACTCCCCCTCAGTTCTTGTGACACCTTGTCTGTGGGCCAGAGTGGCCTGGGTTCAAATCCCACCTCTGACACCTGTTTGCTTTTTGACCTTGGGCGGGTGCCCCCCCACCCCTGTTCTCTAAGCCATAATATTCTTATCTGTAAAATAGGAATAAGAATAGCATCCTCCTAGGGTCATTGTGGAAAACAAATGTAATTGTATTATCAAGTGTTTGGCCCAGGGCTGGCATGTAGCAAGGGCTCAGTAAGTATGAGTCCTTCCCTTCCCCCACATTCCCCCATACCTGACAGCTGTCAAGAGGCTTTGCTATCTGTGTATGGTCAGGTGTGTGTCGAGGGAAATTTTCCTGGTAACTTGGCCAGAGCTCAGCTCTTTGCAGAACACCTTACACAGGATCTAATCCCAGGGTAATAAATCAATCCCAGTGACAGCCTAACTGTGGGCTCCTTGCACCAGGCACATCTCCCAGCCTTGGGTTTTGTTCGGCCATGAAGGCTTTCTTTGAGCAGCCAGGCTGTGCCAGTTCAGCCCAGCTGGGAATTTAGCTTTGAAGCCAAGTTCAGAACTGGAGCCGCCCTCCCACCAGGGTTTGTAGGGCAAAGGGAGGCGGTTGATTCCTTGAGAAAGGAGGAAACTTGGTCTGTTGAAATAACCTGAAAATAGACTTGTTTTGACTCCCAGAGCTGTGTCAATAAAGAAAGAGCTGGTTCCAGGCCCACACCTGGATCCCTCAAGTATGCCTTGAAATGAAGGAAACTCTTAAGTATTGTCTGGAAATCTATTGTCAGAAAGAAACACATTACCCAGAGGGTCTGTTCTGATAATGCCAGATCAGGAAATGTGTAAAACAGAGCCCAGCTCTGCCACTTACCAGCCGTGTGATCCTGGGCAAGTTATTTAACTTCTCTGGGCCTCAGTTTCCCCAGCTACAAATGGGGATAATAATAGCACCCTCTTCATAGGGTTCTGTGGGGCTCAAATGAGTTTGTACACATAAAGCGCTTTGAGCAGGACTTGCACAGAGTTACTAGATGTTAAATATCAACATTTGCTATAGTACTGTTATCATTGCTGTTATTACTGCATGGGCCATTTCCTCAGAATAATACTCCACAGGTGTCATTTTTTAACTCAATTTTAGGGACTTTGGCAACCTCTCAGATTCTATCTATGGTCTCTGGAGGGGTCTGAGACGCAGAGAAAGCATAGGGACTGGTCAGCCAAGGGACCTGGTTCTCTGTTTGATTCTGCTGCTAAGTCCCTGTGTGGCCCTGGGCACGTTGCTTTCCCTCTCCGGGCACCAGCACCAGTTTTTTCACCTGTACAAGTAGAGTATCGAGTTGTATGTAGGTTTCTTTTATCTCTAAGGTTTTGTGTTTCTGCAAGGTGAGCTTCTCACTCAGCACCCCAAGGCGATCCTTTGCAACTGGAGTTCAGGGTGTGATGTACTACCTTTCTGTTCTTGGGTCCCCATCTGAGCCCTGAGGCCGTCCAAGCTTCCCCTACTTGTTTGGTGACTTCACTTCTCTGTGCCTCAGTTTCTTCATCTCTAGCACAGGGACAGTGGTAGTATCTCCATCATAGAGCTGTCAAGAGGGTTAAATTAATTAATACATATCAAAGGCTTGGAAGAGCACCTGACACATAGTAAATGTTAGCAAATGCAGTGCTGGAGGTTGATACTGATCCCATCATAATAACATGGTCAACATCTAACCTTTATTGAGAGCTCTCTAGATGCAGGTACAAGATACCATCTCATTGGGTTCTCATTACAATCCCCTGAGGATTTTGCAGAGGAAGAAACAGAATGTCAGAAGGGTGACGTAATTCACCCAAGGCCACCCAGCTGGTCAGTGGCACCATCTGATTCAGCCTCCTTATCCAGTCTGAAGATTGCTTACTGCATCCCTCAAGGCGTGGTTGAGAATCCAAGGTTTCATTCTTAATTCTGAAGGAGGCGGTGAAGATAATTCTTTTATGGGGCTTTCTGAGCTTTTACTAGCAATGTGTCTCTAGACTCCCCAGAGATAAGCACTCCCTCTCTATCTACTGGAGAAGGTGACTTAAAAAAAAGAAAAGGGTGGTGGTGAGGGCAGTAAAGGTGAGGAACACCCTCTCATGGGAGATAAGGTGGCAGTGAAGGAAGTTTCTTTGTGGACCCATGAGATAAGCAGTGCGGGGTGTCTTTGCTCTTCACATCTGCCTGGGATTTGGCCCAAATCTGCATTTTGGCTTCAGCCTCTGTCTTTGGGAAGCTGACATGGAATGTCAACTCAAGGTCACTTCTGACATCCCAGGTCATGAGTGTGGCCAGAGGCTATGTGATGACATAGATTGCCATGGTGCCTAGCCAGCAGGCAAAGTCAGTAATAGGAACAGGGCTTCATTTGGATTTAGTGTCCTGCTCTGAATTCTCACTTCCCAATATAGGAAGCATCATAGATGTAACTCAGAGCCAGCCTCTCCTCTTGTGCTCTAGAGGTTGAAATTCAATCAGACAACTGAAGTTATTGCAGGAGTGAAATGCTGTGATAATTAATGATTAACGGGAAAGCTATTCGTTTTATGTACAAAACAGTTACTAAGAGCGTTCAAGTACTTAAATAAGGAAATTGATTGGCCGTTCAGGTGTACATTAAGAGAGAGTGCCTTAGCTAAGTAACCTTTAGGGAAAATATTATATTCTTTTTTTAATAAACATTCAAATAGTAATACAAAGCAGGGACTTCCCTGGTGGCGCAGTGGTTAAGAATCCGCCTGCCAATGCAGGGGACACGGGTTTGCAGCCCTGGTCCAGGAAGATCCCACATGCTGCAGATCAACTAAGCCCGTGTGCCACAACTACTGAGCCTGTGCTCTAGAGCCCGCGAGCCACAACTACTGAGCCCATGTGCCACAGCTACTGAAGCCCGCGTGCCTAGAGCCCGTGCTCCACAACAAGAGAAGCCACCGCAGTGAGAAGCCCACGCACCACAACAAAGGGTAGCCCCTGCTCACCACAACTAGAGAAAGCCTGCGTGCAGCAACAAAGACCCAACACAGCCAAAAAAAAATTTTTTTAATAATAATAATAATACAAAGCAGAATACTAGAGATTAGAGTATATCATCAATCCAATCTTTATAAAATTGATCTGATATACTAGCATTTATACATTTAAATAAAACAGCTTCAAGAATGATATTTACTTTTTAGTTATTTTATTCCCTTTAGGCTATGAGTTTCCCCCTCCATAAACTCAGCTAAAAGTGATGACTGTCTAGTATCCCAGATGTGCAGGTGTCACTGCAGGAACAATCTAGAAGCAGACTGTGCTAAGAAATGTCAGGGGCACCCACTCAAGAATTTGACTGTGTTCTTAATAATAAATCTGAACTAATCATGAAAATGTTGTAACATCCTAGATTTGTTCTACTGTCCCAGAAATTTCATTCTTGATGGTGATTGGCCTACACTCTGGCTAAATATTTTATTTAGCCAAAATGTATGTGCCCCCTGGTTTTCATAGAAATGGACAGTGAGTGGGAGAAAAGATCACTGCAGCAAGATGTTCACGTCCAATTCTTGCTGTGGAATGAGTAGGTTCTTTTCAAAAAAACGTCTTCTGAGCCCCATCCAGGTGCCAATCCCAGGGCCAGCTGCTGAGGGTGGAACGCAGGAAAGGCTTTATCTGTGTCCCGAAGGTTCAGCCCTGTGATTCTCAAACTTGAGATAATTGGAGAGCTTGGTACAGGTGGTTTCCTCACCCAGGAAGCAGTGCTTTTAACAGCTACCCCCTGGGAATTCTGATGCAGTTGATCCAAAGCCCACCCTTTGAAAATCAATGGTCTAGAACTCCAGGCTAATACAGTACAGAGGGTTAGGGAGGCCTAGAGTCGGAGCATGTAGGCAACCTGGAGGCTCAGGCAGGTGAGGAGGTGACTCTGGAACGATGAGTAATGTTTAGCCAGGCAAAGGAAGGTAAGAAGGTCCTTGGCAGCCGAGGGCCAGCAGGAACACAGGACTGAGGCGTGGGCAGTGCGCCTGCAGGCAGTTCGGTGTTTCTGGAGGGTAGAGTGTAAGTTAGGAATTGATGAACGATGAGGCTGTGAATAAGGCAGGAACCAGGTCACGGGGGGCCTGAGTGTCCTGCTGGAGAGGTGACTCTATCCTCAAGGCAGAGGGAGGACCAGGATGGAGGGAGAGAGGGGGGCAGACAGTTGTGATTGTACTTTCCTGCTTGACACTGGTCATGTGGTGGTGCTCTCATCATCCTCCCATTTCCAGTCCCTAAGTGAGAAAATTGAGGCTCAGAAAAATCAGGGGAGCCAGCGAGATCATGGCAGAGCTGGGCTCAAAGACCTCACCCCAAATTTGCAGACTATTTCCCAGGCAGTGTTAGTTGAACAATTTGCTGCTGGTTCACGGAGCCAGCTGCTCGTAGCCCCTGTGTGTTCCTCTTGTACGCCCTCAGCAGCCGGAATTTCTCCTCAGGCCTTGAACTCTACCGAAAGCAACTAATTTCCAGCCTTCCTGTTTGCCCCGATTGGTACTAGCAATTAAGGCCCAAAGTATATCTCCAGCCTGTGGAGGAAATTGTCATAACCATGGAAGGAATGATGATAGCAGTAAACGTATTGAACGATTACAGTATGCCAGTCACCGTAGGTTTAGCCCTCCTAGTACCCCTGGAAATTCAGCGCTGTTATCATTCCCACTTTATGGATGAGGAAACTCAGGACAAGTAATTTGTACATAGTCCCAAGGTTAGTAAGTGGCTCTGTCCAGCAGGATAGCCTAGGTTTTGCTGCGGTAACAAATGACCTCCACATCTCGATGGCTTACAGCAACAAAAGTGCATTTCTTGCAAGTTGGCTGTGGCTTTAGTCCACACTTTCTTGGCTCTGGGTCCCAGTTGACAGGGTGACCTCTATTGGGAGCGTTGCTGGTCTCGGGGCAGAGCAAAAGGAGACTTACCAGGCGCTGCACTGACCCATAAAGATTTTGCCAGAAGTGACTCATATCCCTTCCAGCTACTGGCTAAAGCGGGTCATGGAACCACTCAGCTCAACAGGGCAGAGATGTGTAATTGTTCCATAGGGAGGACCAGTGCAGGAGGGATAACTGAACACCTGGAGGATTGTCATGCACCACCACAGCAGAGGGAGGATTCAAGCCTAGTTTACAGGATTTGAAACCTGACACCAGAACCCATGGCCATCCCACCTTCTGCTTTGCTAAATGCATGTGGTTCGGCCTCTTCCCGCACATCTGAGGGCGTGAATTTCAGTCCTGAAAAACCAGCACCTGTGATCATGGAGAATTGGTTTCCGCTCAGTAGTGAAGCAACCAAGAAGTGCTGTGCTGTACCCCCAGGAGGTGCTTAGGGGAAAGTTGGTTGAGGTGAGCGGGCAGACAACCAAAAAGCATAGCGGCTCTCCGAAAGCCCATCTCAAATCCAACTTCTTTTCACTGACCGGAGGATGAACTGTTTCTCGCTATCACCTATGGTTCAGAAGGCAAGAGATGGGAAGGAAACAGTTCCGGTTGAGTACTGCGTTGTTCTGCTCGCCGACACACAGAAATTCCAGCCTGCTGTCCATTCTCCATAAAAGTTTGTTGATCGAAGGGATGAAGAAGGAATTAATTTAAGCTTTACAAACCAACAGCCTTATGAGGGAGATGTTATTATCCCCATTTTTACAAAAGGGGGAACTGAGTTTCAGGGAGATGGAGTTTCATGGCAACGGCCACTGTTTCGGTCCCTGCTCGCAGGGCCAACTGTCAAGCTCTGCGCTTGACAGACGTTGTTTTTGCTGATCCCCACTGCCGCTCAGGAGGAGGGTACTCTTATCCGTGACCTCGTCTGTGATATGCAGATAATAATAAAACTGATTCTAGGAAAAGATAAACCATTCGAAGTGCAAAGCACAGTGGCAGGCATGTTGGAAGTCCTCAATAAACTTTAACCCTTCTTTTATCATCATCGTCATCTGCCATCGCACTATACGTTGAGTTGTTGTCCAAACTCCAAGTTCAGTTCAGAGTTCCCACTGGTAGTGACCGCGCTGCCCCACCCTTGTCTCCCATCCTTCTTACTGCCCCGAAGCACCGGGGGCCAGATGTTGGATAGGAAAGTTGGGTTTAGTGACTCTCCTGGGCCATTCTGAGGATTCACCTGACCCCAGTTTACTTCATATGCTTCCCTTTTGCTACATTTTGTCACTTTCAGATTTCAAGTCTGAACTGTTCTAGCTATTGCCCCAAGGCCAAGGTCTCCAGTACAGACATTTCTCTAACCCCTCTTTAAAAAGATAAATCTGAAGGAAATTGGTTTCCAAATTCCTTCCAGAGGGAGGTGGGCTCAGATGGCAGAGTCGGGGGAGGGGAAGGAAGGAGTGAGGTGATGATGTCTGTGACTCTATCTGGTACTCATTCTGGGTCCATCTGTATAAAGATATTTTTGTGCTTCTTTTGCCATTATTATTATTATTATTTTGTCTTTTCATTATTCAAATTGCAACCCTGTTAGGATGGATCCGTTGGGTAAGTAGCACATCCCACGTACTGGGATTCCCCAGCTGGGTTTTAGAATGTTTTCAGCTTTTTAAAACCAACGATGGGTCCAGGGTAACCTTGGTACCTTGCTCTGCATGACAGAGCACCCAGCACTGATCCCAGTTGGGGGTTGGTGAGGCGGGGAGGTGTCAAGGGATCCCAGACACAGCCAGTCCTAGAGAGCAACCTCTCCCCCGCCCCCCCCAGAACGGCCGAGGCATCCCGGAAGATGAAAGAAAACCGGAGGAAGTGGAAGCGCTATCTCCTGATAGGCTTGGCGACGCTGGGAGGCGGGACAGTGATCGGTAAGATGAGATGGTGGCGCTGGCCAGGGCAGCACGGAGTGAGGGATGATGCCAGGCTCGGAGCAAGAGTGGGGAGTGCAGGGGGATCGGCTGGGAGCCCACCCCTCCTCGCATGCACGTAGTAGGTGTGTTCACTAGTATTGTCCGTGAGAGGCAGTGGGAGGCCGGTGGAGGAAGAACGCAGCAGGCCCCGTCCGCACCCCCACCTCTACCCACCACGGGCCGCTTTCCTCGCAGGCGTGACTGGGGGTCTGGCTGCCCCTCTTGTTGCTGCCGGAGCCGCGACAATCATTGGCAGTGCCGGGGCAGCGGCTCTGGGCTCAGCGGCCGGCATAGCTGTCATGACCTCGCTGTTCGGTGCAGCTGGAGCTGGCTTGACAGGTAAGGTTCCAAAGGAGTGGTGGCCCAGATTCTCACCAGTGAGGGCTCCCTGGGAGATGGAGGAAGAGGACATAGGACATGGCTTTTCTCACTCTCAGTCCTAGCACTGCCAGAACTTATAGCGAGCTTCACAGAGAACTGGGTGGATGGCTTGGCGTGGCTCGGGAGAAGGCTGAGTTTGAGAAACTGCGCCTGGTGTAGACTTCTTAGAAAGGGTCTGATTGGACCTGTTTGTCACCATCTAAGAAGTTTCCAGGCAGGCTGCCTCAGAGACAGTTGAGCTTCCTCTTGTAAGAGAACACATGGCTACCCCTCATTTACCAGCATCCCGTGGGGGAGTGTTTCCAAATCATATGTGTCAGTAGCTCCCCAGTCACACACAGAGTTTCCTGTTAAGTGGCATGTTGCTTCCCGCATTGAGAATCTTGGTCAGCTCAAACCACTTTCACCGAGAGGAGTGTGTTACACTCCTGAAGTTCGTGGGCGGGAAAAAGATATAGTACCCACTGGATCAGGCCAGAGCGGCAGTTATGAGCTTGGGCTCTGAGTTTCAACCCCAGCTCTGCCAGTTGGGGGCTAGCCAGCCTTTGGAAACCTGTTACCTTCATCTGTAGTCAGGACGATAATGGCACCGACCTTAATGAGTTCAAGGGATAGGGCACACGGTTGGCAGTCACTGTGAGTGTGCGAGTACACAGAGCCTCTCTAACATCCCCCAGGGTCCCCAGTGACCCCCCATTCTCACTTTTGTATCTGGGTCTTTAGGATACAAGATGCAGAAGCGTGTCGGGGCCATTGAAGAGTTCACGTTTCTGCCTCTGACAGAAGGCAGGCAGCTACACATCACCATCGCCATCACGGGATGGCTGGCATCTGGCAAATACCGTGAGGACCAGGGGCAGAAAAGGATGCAGAAGGGGGTAGACGTTGGCCGAGCTGGGTCTGTTGCTGTGGATCAGACCCTGGCCCAGGCTCTTGCCTGTGTATGTCTTTAGGGGGTGGGTAGGGGGCACCTATTTTTCAGAGGAGGAAACTGAGTCTTGGAGAGGTAAGATGACTTTATCCCACATCTGTCTTCCCATGCACCCATCCATCATCTGTTCATCCATCCAACTGTCCATCCATCTGCCCATCTATCCATTATCCATCCATCCATCCATCCGTTCACCCATGCATCCACCTATCTATCTATCCATCCATCCATCCATCCATTCACCCATTTAACCACCTCCCTACCCACCCATCAATCCATCCTTTCCACAGAGTTTATAGAGCATGTGCCAGACACTGAGCCAGGTCCTAGGAATTCAGTGGTGAGCAGCACAGTCATGGCCTCTGCTCCCATGGAACATATGGTCCAAGGCAGAAGACAGGTCATTGAGCAAGTAATTACAGGGAAGCTTTATGGATGGTACAATAGGGGAAGCACAGAGTGCTTCTGGGGAGTGAGGGAAAAGTTATTGGAGGAAGTGAGTTAGGCTAAGGGCTGGCTGGGAAGTAGCCAGAGAAGGAAGGAGAAAGAAGTGAATACCAAGCAAAAGGGCAGCATGTAGAAAGGCCCAGTGGTGCAAGAGAAGCACAGGATGGCTTGAGCAAGGAGCTAGAAGACAGGAGTGTGGGTGAGGCCGGATCACACAGGAGCATGTGAGCTCTGGCGAGGAGTTTGAATTTATCCTCAGAGCAAGTGGAAGATAGCAAAGGAGTTTCAACACATAGGTGAGAAATCAGTACATCTTGGCTGTGTGACCTCAAGCAATTTACTTCACCTCTCTGTGCCTTGGCTGCTTCATTTGTAAAGTAGAACAAATTATCCTTGCCTTTCAGGGCACTTACAAAGATTAAATTAAACAAGGTAACGTGTGGAAAGCACCTGGTTTTTAGTGACATTCCACAAACGTTATTTCCCTTTACTGCTCTAATTTGAACGTGTGTGTTTTGGGGGGATTCTAACCAGGGTGGCACTGAGGAATGAGGCCATGGTCCGTTTACTGTTGGCTCACTTTCGCAAGTGCCCAGTGTGAGGCTCAGCAAGCAGGTCGTCAATCAGAGAGAGAACAGGGTGGGCCAGGGAGTCTGGAGCGTCCTGACCAAATACACAAGCTCAGAGCCTCCTGGGTTCCCAAATTTCTGGGATCCGAGGGCAGAAGCCACAGCTCTTCTAAACAGCACAGGAGGAAGCAGGTGAGAAAATGCCCAGGCTCTGCTGAGAGGCATTACTGGGCGCCAGAGTCTTGTTGGTATGTGCGCACCAGGGCCAGTCCCCAAACGGGACTCTCGAACAGTGACTGAGCACCTAGCACCATGAGTCAGGCATTTCAGCCACACACTAGGAGCTTGATGTACATTACCTCGAGTGACCCTCACATCCGTGCTCTGAGGTGAGGGCTGTTCTTATCCTGATCTGGATGAAGAGGAAACCTAGAGGGATCACATGGCAGACAAGTGGCACATGCAGGATTCGAACCCAGGTCTCCTGACCCAGAGTTCACGGGTTTTTCTCTTCATTTGTTTCATGATACCATCCATGCTACAGAAAGACTGAGACAGGAAGGAAGGAGCAAGAGTCTAAGTGAAGGAATTTGCAGTTTCTGACCAGTATGGAAAGCAAAGCCCTTATGGTTGTTTGACCCACCCCCTTGCTGGGTTGGCCCCAGGGCAAAATCAAGTTCATTTGCGGGTGCTGGATCATCTTCTCATATATTTCTGAGGATATTAACTGAGTTTTAAAAAATTTTCTGGCATGTTCCTGGTTTACTATGAGTTGCTTTTTTTTTTTACCAAGGTAGGTGAATGAAGTTCAGGAGGGAAATGAGTCACCTCGTCCTGCCTCCTTGACGGCCAGGAAAGAAGTCTCGTGTCATCACAGGCTTGCTTCTGTGTGTGATGGGAATAAATGGGCTTTCTTGGGTCCGCCCCTTTATTAAATAGGATTGTTTGTAATCATGATTATGGCTTTGTAGCTCACCACTAAGCCAGGCATTTTGCATGCATTGGCTCACTTAGTCCCTCACTTCAAGCCACGGATATGGGCATCATTATCACCCCCATTTTACAGATGAGGAAACCGAGGCTGATAAGGGCTGCCCAGGGTCGCCTCGCTAGTCAGGAACTGGGGCACGACTCACCCCCATTCTGTCTGGCTCCATAGCCCATGTTCTTGGCTACAGGGTGATAGAATGCAGTACTGCACTTTACAGTTTACATAATGCTTTTCGTGCAGCCTCTCACATGATCCCCACAACACCTGTGAGTCAGATGCCATCATTCCATTTTAACAGGTGTAGAAACTGAGGCTCAGAAGGGCAACGTGCCTTGCTTGTGAGTCTTGGCAACCATAAAGCTGCTGAGCTGGGTCCAGAGCCCAGCACACACACACACACACACACACACAACACACACAATCTGTGCCCGCATCCTGTCTCGGGCTGGCCGTCTCCTCCTCCATAACTAGAGACAGTTAATCCCTGAGCTGCTGCAGAGCTGTGACAGACTCTCTGCAGAGTGGGGAGCAGCCCCTCAGTGGTCTGCATGTCAGCAGAGCACCCTCGGGTAGGGACGAGGCCTTCGGGTCAGGCAGGTTGAGGCATCTGGCTGAGCCAGAACCCGAAGGCTCTGGGAAGCTGGCTCCACTGTTCATTCATTCATCCTGTTTTCATGAGGCTTTGGGAATCGAGTGCTTGGCAGACAGACTGCAGGACAGACGTGCACTAAACAGATGACACAAAAATAAATGGATAATTGCAGACTCTGACGAGAACTCAGGACGATAAAGTGCAAGGTGCATTAGATCGCCCTTGTCAAAGGGGCCGGGAAGCTACCCCGGGGATAAGGCGAGTGAGCTGGAAGCTCAGAGACAAGTAAGGGTGGAAGGTCACTCAGGCCATGGGCAGAAATGCACGGGGCCCCTCGGTGCTCCCACGGCCCAGAAATGAGTGACAACATGATGTTTGCATGGCCCTCTCCCTCCCCAGGCTGAGAGCTCTTTACCTGGATGGCTCAGTCTCCTCAACTATAAAATGGGGCTAATTGTGGGGCCCCATTTCAGGGGCTGTGTTGAGGTAAATCAGAGAGTCCATGGGAAATCCCTCAGTGCAGAGCTGCCCAGCACTTAGTACTTGCTCACTAAACATTTCCTACGATGATGGGTGTCTGTATCCTCAGGGTCAAGCGCCTGGCCTGGCATAGTCTAGGTACTCAGTTAAGGTTTGTGCTATGAATGAATGAATGAACGAGTGAACAAACGAAATCAAAAGCATGTGTTTCTGGAGGGTAACCTGATGGATGATGAGGCTGTGAAGGAGGCAGGGACCAGGTCACAGGGGGCCTGAGAGTCCTACTGGAGAGGTGACAACATCCTCAAGGCAGAGGAAGGACTAGGAGGGAGGGAGAGAGGGAGGCAGACAGTCACGGTTTTATTTTCCTGCTTGACGTTGGTCACATGGTTGGTACTGTCATCATCCTCCCATTTCCAGTCCCTAAGTGAGAAACTTGAGGCTCAGAAAAATCGGGTGAGCCAGCGAGCTCATGGCAGAGCTGGGCTCAAACACCTCTGCTCCAGATTTGCAGACTATTTCCCACGCAGTGTTTGTTGAATGAGATGCAGCCGGTTCAGGGAGCAAGCTGCTCGTGGCCCCGTGTGTTCCTATTGTGTGCTCTTAGCATCCTCGATGCCAGAATTACTGCAGAGTGAGAGAAAATAACACTTTACACACACAGTAGTTGGAACACTTAATTCTTATAACTACTCTATGAAAAGAGATAAATACTAGTCTCCCGACTTGACAGCTAAGCAAAGTGAGGCTTAGCGTGGGATAGTGACTCAGGGTACCCGGGGTCACCCAACTGCTAATGAATGCAGGAGCTGGGTCTCGAACCCCAGCCTGCTGTCTCACAGCACGGCCCTGTGCTCTGTCTGGGAGCACGTCTGCTCTGCTATCAGCTGCCGTTCAGTGGCGGGGGTGGGCCTCTTGTCTCCCCGCAAGCGTGAGTGGGCCCCTGTCGCCAACTGTCTGGGAAAGGGTGAGAGGCCTCCTCTATCACAGGAGAGACCCAACCTACCTGTGCTCTCCCCAGGTACCTTCAGCGCCCCATGGGCTGCCCTGGCCCACAGCCGCGAGCAGTACTGTCTGGCTTGGGAGGCCACATACCTGATGGAGCTTGGCAACGCCCTGGAGACCATCCTCAGTGGTCTTGCCAACATGGTGGCCCAGGAGGCCCTAAAATACACAGTGTTGTCTGGTAAGCCTCCCCTCTCCCCCACCAGCAGCATTCCCACCACTCCCAAGCCACACTGGTTCTGTACCTTTGCATGCCTGAGGCCCCCAGTGAGCCAGGCACAGTGCTGGTCTCCAAGAACACAGAGAGGCAAAGTTTATGGTCTTCATAGGGAGGAGACAGATAAACAGCCCATCACATTATCACATAGTGTGTCAGTTAGCAATTGCTGCATAACAAACAGCCCCATAACCCAGTGACTTAAAATAACAACCATTTATCACAGTAGCTCAGAAGTGTTGAGGCTTCATTTGGCTGATCTTTGCTGGGCCTGCGCATGCATCTGTGGGTCAGCTGACTTCCCACTGATCTAGGCCAGCCTTGCCTGGGGCAACCAGGGCAACTCAGTGCCTCCCCGTCCTGGGATCACAGGCTATCCCACACCCACAACAGAAGTGCACTAGAGGCACGAGTCCATTTCAAGCCTCGCATCCAGTAACATCTCATTGGCCAAGTCAACATGATTGAGCCTAGAGTGGATGGGCAGGGCAGGAGCAGGGGGCATTGCAGAGTTATGAGGCCAAGTGGGAGGATACAGGGTGGAGTGACAAATTGGGGCCATCTCTGGAATCTCACACACGGCAGATACTTAAACATAAGGGATCTAGGCCGTGTATCAGCAATGCGTGAGCTTCAGTTCTCTTCTGTACTACTTAGCAGTTTGACCACACGTGGAAAACTTACAGATTCCAAGTTAGAGACTCTGGATGCATGAACTCAGGCATCCATTAGCCAGCCAATCGCTTCCCTAGAAGGACCCCCCCCCACTGCCGCCCCTGCCACCACGGCCTTCATCACCGATATCCCTCCTTCCCAGGCCTTGTGGCTGCCCTGACCTGGCCAGCCTCACTCCTCAGTGTTGCCAATGTCATCGACAACCCCTGGGGTGTGTGTCTCCATCGATCAGCAGAGGTTGGCAAGCACCTGGCCCACATTCTGCTCTCCCGGCAGCAGGTACCTGGGAATAGCTGGGGCGGGGAGTGGGGCGAGCGGGCAGGGAGCAAGGAAGCAGGGAAGCATGGGGGCTGACTTGTGCACAGACGTCATACCTGAGACAAGCCCACGTGGGGGTAACCCAGTGGCTTTGCAGGGGGGTGGGGGGTGGTCGTCATTGCTCCTCCAGTTCAAGTCATAAAAGCACCCTAGGGGGACTTCCCTGGCTGTCCAATGGTTAAGACTCCATGCTTCCACTGCAGGGGCCACGGGTTCAATCCCTGGTCAGGGAACTAAGGTCCCACAAGCAGCACAGCATGGCCAAAAAGGTAAAAAGTGTCCTAGGATGGACCAGTAAGAATTACAGACTGTGCATCTCTAGCAAGCAATCAGGTGAGAACTAACAGGCCTCTGCAGGTGTGGACAAGGCCAGCTCTTCGTTTCCAGAAGTATAGAGCTACCCTCTGAGCAGATCTCCAGTGGCCCAAATACCACGTAAAACAGGGTTCCATCCACATTCGAGACAGTCCGAGGCAGGAACGTAGAAGTGAAGGGCCTTTCACATCCCTTGGCCAGGACTCAGCCCTGCGGCTATCCCTGGCTACAGGGCAGTTGGAGAAACTTCATTTTTGGCTGGGTAGCTGTGGGCCCAGAAAAACTCAGGAGTTCTGCTACCAAGGACAGAGGGAGAATGGGTGTAGGGTGATGACTGGTAGCCTTTGCCACAGAGTTCCTGCAGAATTGGAATACTGTTTAATGGAGGGTCTTCCATGGCAGTAGATGGAGGTGGGGGGAGGGTGGGTACATATACCGGCCCAAAAGCAAGGGAAAGGAGTGGAGTACTGAGACCAGCTGGACCTTTGGAACTCATCTGCCCTCTCCCTCCGTGTATTTGTACCCAAATACCTCTCATGACTTTTCTTTTTCAAGTTGCCTTTCCTACAAGTTCTTGAGTCAGAAAATTCCTCTTTGCATCTAACTTACAACCTCCTCACAGCATAAGGCCAACCTTTCATGTCCCCACTTCCTATCTAGGAACAGAACAGTTGTGTCCCCCCCGATGTGACTCTTTGCCTTTTTCCCCATCACATCCGGGGTACCTCCCGCCTCCTCTCTCGGCTCCAGAAGGGCCCCGCTTCACTGCAGTCATTTGCCACAGGTAGATGCGGGGGGGAAGGAGCGACGGCCACTGGCTAGTGGTTTGAGATAAAACCAGGGAATTAACCCAGCCAGGTGCTGCCTGTCAACCTGGGAAGAAGCCGGTTCCTGAGCAGGTGCCCTCCTGCATAAATGAGGGCCCAGACTCTCCTGATGGAGACATCAGAGCCTGGGGCCGGGAACAGCACAGGCGAGATTCATTAAGCGGGAGGCAGGTGCTGAGAAGTGTGCAAGGGCCACCGTCATCGGGGCTGATGTTTTTCTAGAACTGGCTGTGCACCATGCCCCCAACACCTGGTCCTTTCTCCCCCAGGGCCAGCGGCCTGTCACCTTGATTGGCTTCAGCCTGGGAGCCAGAGTCATCTACTTCTGTCTGCAAGAGATGGCTCAGGAGAAAGGTAAGGCTGGTCCGTTGTCACAGGTGAAAACACTTCTGGAGTCCACCCCCCCCCCAGGCCAGAGGTTGTGCACTAGAGGTCGCAAGTCTTGTGACCGTGTTCCCAGATCTTAGAGTTTAAAACAACTTGAAAAAGAAAAAACAGTCATTTGGAAAATTGTTTATTTCTTCCGTACGTAAATTAGAGTGGGTGTGAGACAGTCTTATAAAAATGGCCTTTGCGTTCTGATGCGGGTTCTTGAGTGGGAGGGGAGTGGAAGAGTCCGAAATCGGGGTGTTGGCAGGGCCGCGCTCCCTCTGAAGGCTCTAGCGGAGAGCCGCGCCTCTTCCAGCTTCTGGTGGTGGCCGGCAGTCCTAGGCTTGCAGACGCCTCGCCTTCACATCACCTTCTTTGTGTCATCTCTTCTCGCCTAAGGACAGTGTCAGTGGCTTTAGGGCCCGCTCAAATCCAGGATGACCTCATCTCAGGATCCCTCACTAATTACATTTGTGTGATTTAATTACATCTGCAAAGATGCCTTTTCCAACACCTGTTACCAAGGACAGGCAGAATGGGTGTAGGGTGATGACTGGTAGCCTTTGCCACAGAGTTCCTGGAATACTGTTTAATGGAGGGTCTTTTCCAAGTAAGGTCTCACTCACAGGTTCTGAATGGACACATCTTTTGAGGGGGCCACCATTCAACCCACTACAGACACCTTTGGGAGTGTGTCATGCCATCCGAACACATACTTTCAGTGTTGATGCAGTGGAAAGCTTGAGGGCCCCTACCCTGGTCTCGGGTCGGTGAGGCCTCCAGGACTGAATGCCGGTTTGGGGCAGATCTGTCACCAGGGGCTGCCATAGCAAGGGGTTAGTGGGGTGAGGTGCAGAGCTCAGGGCACTTGGGGTGGTCCACCATGCGTGGGACCCGGGCTAACCTCTCTCCTGGTATAGCATAGCAGCAGCAGAGAGAATTCCTTCTCTGGATGGGGGAAGGTAGCAAAGAATTTTCAGCAGTCTTTAACGCACATTTTGCTGGTCAAAGCAAGTGACAGCCAAGCCCTAGGTCCCCGCTGCCCCTTACACTCCTTCTGTCCATAGCGGAGGACGAGGGGAGCAAATGTTTGCCAGACTCTGACTCGGGGATGAAGGAGGGCAGGGGCTTTGCAGGCAGCCGAGACCTGCGTCTGAGTCCTACCTCTGCTCACCTGGGGAGCCTGGGTTGGGTAAGGACTCAGCCTCCCTGGACGTCAGTCTCTCCGTTTGCAGCAGGAGGTTCTTGTCGCCTCTGGGCAGTGTCAAAGGCCAGAGAGCATGGAGGTCAGGCCGCCGGCCCAGTGCTGGGTCCTGGTCAACACATCCTGCAGCGGCTTTTAGGCTGAAGTGTCTCTGCTGGTGTTGGGGGTGGCTGCACTCGCCCCCTGCGCTCGCCCCCTGCGCTCGCCCCCTGCGCTCTAAAGCTGTTGCCGCCAGGGAGGCCCCTGGAAAGTTGTCACGCTCTGCGCTGTCATCGTTTTGCTCCTTTCCTGGTCATCCTTCCCCCAGTCCACGCAGCAGACCCATCTGCCAGGCTCCTTATCACCTGGATAACGTGGTCTGGGGGACAAAGGGCATGTCTTTGGCTCCAGTTAGCATAAATTACATGTTAACTTCAGATCAGTAATACAAGCCAAGTCTCCAATTCCCCTCCTGAACAAATTAATTACCATTGATCATTTGGACACGGCCATTGGAAGTGAGGTCGCCCATCAGCTGACTCCAGCAAGTGAGGCCGGAAACTGATGGGAGGGAGATGTTCCTGCCCTCAGCCTTTGGCGGGGTGGTTCTCAAAGCAGCTTCCTTCCCGCCACTTTCCTGGCCACTGCTCCCTCCCCTGGCTCTTCATAGCCCACCACTGAGAACTGGGGCTTTGGTATCAGGCAGACCTGGATCTGGGTGCCAGCTTCATCACTGACGAGCTGTGGCACCTTGGGCAAGTCACTTAACCTCTCTGAACCTCGGCTTCCTCATCTGAACGTGGGGCTTAGTACACTTACCTCTTCAAGAGATTAAAATGAGATGATGAATGTGAAAGTACCTGCTGTAATTTGGGTTCACTCAGTAAACGCTTCTTCCTCTAATCTGAGGACCTACTGTGCACGGGGAACTATGGTGAGTGTCATGTAGATGGAGGCGCTTGTCATTTTGTGTCTACTTTCTGGCGCACACGTTAGATGGTGAATTCCAGGTAGGCGGGATCTGCCTGTGCCCCACCATCTCTCTGGCACACGGCACATTCTGAGAGCTCGGGAAGGTGGGTGGACTTGACTTTGGGCTGACAGGCTCAAGAGCCTGGTGCAGACTCCCCATGTGCCAGGCCGCACACTATGCAGGATCTCGGTCTCCCGGCAACTCCCTGGGAGGTTGTTATTCTCCCTGCTTCCGGGATGAGAAACTGAATGAGGCTGCGAGGGAAAGCCAAGCGGATCCTAAGAGCCAGAGCCGGGATTCGACCCCAGGGTGTCTGGTTCCAGGGCCCTTGCTCGTAACAACTGTGCTATACTTTGCAGAGGACCCAGACCTTGAACGTGGGTGGGGCTCCTCCAGAGGATCTAGAGGGAGGGGAATTCCAGAGGATCCGGCCAGCAGGGAAGAGGAAGGGCTCTCAGAGTGTCTGAAAACGTTGAGTCTAGTTTTTCTGCAGCCTGTGAGAGGGGACCAAGGTGGAATGTGGGAAATGGTTAGGACAGGAGCCTGGCATAGGTCTCGAATGCCGGGTTAAGGTGTTGGAACCGACTGGTTAGACGCTCGGCCTCTGAATTGTGTGACGAATGAACAGCTGAGCATAGTCCTGCAGAGGGAGGCGCTGGGGGCAGCGGGTGGTCAGTGCTGGGCAGCTTGTGGTTGACCCCCCTCCCCCCGTGCACACATTCTCCTACGCGCACGTGCGCGTGCACGCGCGCGCGTGATCACACACACACACACACACACACACACACACACACACACACACACACACACACACACACACGGCAGCAACTCAGCCGACCCCAAGGGCCTCTGCTGAATGGATGGGAAGCTTCCCAAATAACAAGAATTGGGTAGGAATCTGAATAGAAGCCCAGCGGCCAAAAGCGCAGCTGGTTTTCTCCCCATCCAGTCACCTTCCGAAGGAGGAACTCACAGCCAGAAGACTCTGAACAAGAGTCTTTATTCTTGATCAGCCTGATAGTTTCCCCTACTTAATAATATCCCATCCCACCCTGTGTCTGGACGGGAGGTAATAAAGGACCCTGGTAACCCTTTGCCTTGACCTTGGTCAAGAACCACCCAAGAAGGGGTCTTCCCCTTAGTTGGCTGAGGCTTATTCCAAATGAAAACAGCAGCTGCTCTCATGTGTGGGGAGCTGGGGCCCGCTTTCTCTCTGGGGCAGAATAAGGCTCCCCGTGCCATGCGGCACAGGCACACTGTCTAACCCTGCCTGCCCTGCCGGCCTTCTCAGCTCCTCCAGGTGGGCGGCAAGCCCCTGATGCCAGGCCTCAGCCGTTTATTTCCCCAGTTTCCCTCTTCCTTTCCGGAGATTATGTAAGGTAACTCCTGGTGGCTTATAGAAATGGGAAGTTGGAAACAAAACACACCCACGTGCAGAGGGGAACTGAGGGGTCCTGAACCCGGAGAGCTGGGCGCTTGTGCGTGGCTTCCCTGACGGCCCCAGGGGGGTCTGGGCCCAAGGCCACCCAGACCACGAAGTAAAATGAATAAAAACATGGACATACACACACTCATAAAAATAGGCTCACATTCCTGCATGTTGAGTGTGGCCCTCATCTTCCTGTGTTCTCTTTCTCTGTCATCCCCCGTGTCCTCTTGCCAGCCATCCAGGGAGCCTCTGGCCTTCAGGGCTTTACCACTTACCACCCGGTCCCCACCCATCAACAGACGGCGGGGCCAGACACAGCTGGAAGGATGGCACAGATGCAGGCCTTTGCGTCATTAGGTGACGGGGCCACACAGCTCTTCCCCACCGAGAAGATGCCAGCTCAGGTGCTGCATATATGTGGGCTGTGGAGCCAGGGCATCTGGTTTGAATCCCACACGCACTGCTAGGTTCACCTGCCCGCTCTGAGCTCCAGGTGACTCATGTGAAACACGAGGGAATGATAATAGTGTTGCCATCAAGGTTGTAATGATTAAACGCAATAGTGCGTATAAATGCTGCCATATAAGAACCTGGTATTTCTTACTGAGCATTTATATTATGCTAAAATCTGTCTTAAGCTTTATAAAAGGGAGCTGGCTTGGAATTCCCTGGCGGTCCAGTGGTTAGGACTCCACACTTTCACTGCCGAGCACCTGGGTTTGATCCCTGGTTGAGAACTAAGATCCCACAAGCCATGCACAGCACGACCAGAAAAAAAAAAGGGCGGGGAGCTGGCACCTAGGATTAGAGCACCACACACACATAGGTGACCTTGACCCTGGACCTTGTTGAGGGAAAATCAGCCTCCCACCAGAGTAGGGGCCCACAGTTTCTGTTCCTTTCTGTTCCTTCACCCGCCTTCCCCCCTCTTCCTAGACAACCCCCTCCCAAGTCCTGGCCTTGTGTTACTGATGGGGCACCTTCAGGTCTCCAGCTGGCTGGCTGTGGTTGTGAATGAATTATTCACCCTTTGCCCGGAGCTGCTGTTTCACATCTAATTCATGCCAGCTCAGCTGTCTGGTTTCAGGCAGCCCTGCTTGTTTAACACCCAATTAATCTGCACACGAAGGAGACCCTCTCCTAATTGCAGGAAAGCTGTCATTATCTGAGTTAAGGGAATGTAAAAGAGGAATTACTCTAATGCAGTTGAATCCACTAATTGTTTTCTGGGTTCCCTTGAGACCAAGTAATGAAATGTAGCAATAAATCCTAGAGTCACTGCAGAGTTCAGAATCCTTCAGCTAGCCTACCCCCACCCGCTGCCCCCTCCTAGCTGCAGCCCATCCTTTTTTCCCCTCCCCCAAGAAAAGCTGCCTATAGCATTAACTATCTCATAACTT